CTACTTGGGCCTCAAAATCTACTCCCTGCTCAGTCAAAGAATCCCAGTTGAAGCATCCCCACCGCATAGAATGTAGAATAAACGGGTTGGGAGGGAGCTTGGAGGTCTTCTAGTCCAACCCCCTGCTCAAGCAGGAGACCCTATACCATTCTAGACAAATGACTGTCCAGTCTCTTCTAAAAGACCTCTAGTGATGGAGCGTCCACAACTTCTGGGGGCAATTTGTTCCAAGGGGTGATTGTTCTCGCCATTAGGAAATTTCTCCTTAGTTCCAGGTTGCTTCTCTCCTCGATTAGTTTCCATCTCTTGCTTCTTGTCCCGCCCTATTTGGAGAATAGGTCCACCTCCCCTCTTCTCTGGGACAGTCCCTCAGATACTGAAAGACTGCTATCATGTCACCCCTAGTCCTCCTTTTCATTAGACTAGATATACCTAGTGCCCTCAATTGTTCATTGTATGGTTTAGCCTCCAGTCTCTTTATCCTCTTTGTTCTTCTTCTCTGAATCAACCAGATGCTGTCCAATGAAGGGGACATGTGACGTGATGCCCGGAAAAATATGGCACACTTCGCTTAACCCTCCAGGGAAAGATTGAAAGTAAACGAGGTCCAGGAAGAAGAATATCATGGCTTCAAAACCTAAGGGACTGGTTTGGACAAAACTCAATCGCATTTTTTTGTGTGTGTGACCGCTGATCAAAATAGGATCGCCAACACGATCACCAACATCCGATGATGAATACGGTACAATAAGAAGAAGAATGAAGGGGAGGCCACCGTACCAGTGGTGGTATGCTACCGGTTCAGTCCGGTTCACCTGAATCGGTAGTAAAAAAGAAAAGCCTCCAAGAATCAGCAGAGAGGAGAAAGAAGAGAAAAATGCAAAATTGGCCTTCCCATCTGCCCTTGCGCTTTTCTCTCCTTTATCCTCTCTGCTGATTGGCTCTGCGGGCATCAGCTGGTGTGTGGAAAGCTGTGCGCGCAGGCTAGGTGTGTGCACATAAGGTGTGCATGGGTGCGCCAGTGCATCACTGCACCAGTAGTGAAACAGGTAGGATCCCACTGCCCGCACCCTACCTTTAATTCAGGGGTCCCCAACCTTCCTTGCACCAGGGACCTTTAATAAGTACAACCATGCTTCATATTGCCTTGTGGAATCGCTCGCTCACCCGTCACTTATATGGACCAGTTTCCAACAGGCCATGGTGTTAGGGTTGACTTTCTCAGACATCTCTGCTTGCAACCCGACAGTAGAAACTAAGGAGGGGACAGGGGACTAATTGGAGTTTTGGGGAAGCTGGGAGGGAAGTGAGGACTTCAAGAACACCCATCTGTGGTCAGAGGGAATTTTTACACCTCAAGGTCAAATGGTGGGAAACCTCTGAAAGGCACAGACTATTCCCAAAACAAACTGACTGTACATGATGGGTGGACAATGGACAGTGCGTGGCCCAGGGGAAAAAGGGGGAACTTCTACCTAAGCTGCTTTTCGCGTGATAACCTCAGAACTGGCTTTGCTTCTTCTGTATCTATGTGGCATTATCCGTAAAGCTATGTGATACCCCAGAAGTTTTTTTTTTTTGCTGCATGTGCCAATGGGACAATACCAGTCCATGGTTTCAGAGGTTAGGGGACCATGCTCTAACTCATAGACATCACCATCTGTTGTGGTTCGCTGGCAGTCTGTGCGGATGGCAGTGGAATTGGACAGTGGGGAAGAATGGAAACCAGTCGGGGAGTCTGGACAAGGGTCCGGCATCTGATGCAGAGATGGGGCCAGGCCTTTGGAGCCTCCAGAGTCTGACAGCAGTGAGGCAGAGGAACAAGGGAAGCCTGTTCCCAGTGTGTGCATGCGCAGAGCTGCTAGAAGGTGAGAGCAGCTGAAACAAAAGGGGTGACTCGGGAGTAAGGCTGGGAGGCAATTGCCCCTCCCATAAGGTATAAAAGACAGGCAAAGATGATGAAACCTTTGCAGGAAGCAAAGTCGTTTGTTTGGTTCAGATTCATTCTTGAAGTTCTTTGTACTTCATTTTGTTTTGTTTTCTAGTTCATTGGATACTTCTGTTATGGCAGCACTTCACAGCAACGCAAGGTGGGTGCTTATCTCGAGGGACTGTTTGAGATTTATTACTGGCTGGGAATGAAAATAATTCCCAGTGTTGCAATAAAACAAGACTTGTTTTTAAAATAAGCATGTGCGTAATGACCGTCTTGGAAGCCTTAGCCAGAACACCATTGAACTGTCCGTTGTCAACCCTGGGGCTTCAGTGCTGCCACACCAGAGCTGCGGGATAGGGAGAGGGGATTACAGATCGCTGGGGGTGTATAGTCAAAACAAAATACTTTCTCGTGGGAACCAAGGACATTCTCACCCCTGACTGGAGGAAGGAGGAGTGATGTCACCAGACCAGTGGATACTGCCTTGATTGGGCCGTGTGACTGATCGTTTGGGATTGGAGGGAAAACTTTCATTTTTAATTAGATGAAAATCAAAGGATTCTTCAGAGTTGGTTTTCACCAGAAATGTGCCAATATGATAGTTCGAATAAATCTATTCTTTGAAGAACCTACCTGCCTCAGAGTTTTTGCTTGAAATGGATCTATTACTTGGCATCCATATTGCATGAAATATTTTATCTAAAACTTATGCAGGTTCTACCTTATTCTAACTTCCATATCCTGAACTCCAGAACTGTTCCAGAATGGTTAAATAATTGGGAATCAACCTCACAAAAGTCTCAGAAATCACCAGCAACTTTTCTAGTCCATCCAAGTACAAGGACCCCACTGTGACTTTCCACTAGCTGGTTCTTGACTGTAAATTCTTTCCCAACAACAGCTGGAATGATTTTGGACAGCACAATTCTCTTTCTTCTGTAATTTGTATTCCTCATTCAGAAACTAATCAAATTAATTTTTGAGAAGGAGCCGAGAGGGCACGTGTGCAAAATTTTAATAATTGGTACAATCAAAAGAATAATTTTTTCAAGGAACTACTGCTGAAGTTGAAATACATCTTTCTCCGAACTTGGCAACTTTAAGACTTGTGGACTTCAATCCCCAGAATTCCTCAGCCTGCATGGCTAGTTGAAGAATTCTGGGAGTTGAAGTCCACAAGTCTTCATGCCAAATTTGGAGAGCCCTAGTCTACAGCGATGTTTGTCAACCTTGGAAACTTAAGCATTTTTGGACTTCAACACCTAGAATTTCCATCCAAGCCTGATCTTCTGGAAGCTGAATCCCACACATTTAAATCTTGACGTGATTCCTCTATTGGAGACACAATTATCATGTATAAGCCATTTCTTATTTTGGCCATATCGTACAGGAAAAAGCAATTTCCCATTCTGGTGAGAGAGACGTTCCCTGAAGATGGGCTCCAACACAACTCCAAAAGCTCAGAAGACTAAACCTCTGGATCCAATGACTGATCCAGATGGGATCCTGCAAAGCAATTATGCTTGAAAGAGTTAGCCATAAAAGGAAAACAGATCGCCAAAGAACATGGCTGGACACCATCAAAGCTTTGGCACCAGCTAGATGTTGTGGGCTGTTGGCCGCTGGCCCCTCCAGCAGCTGAGGAGGAAACGTGGGAGTCAGGGTTGGCATCAGGGCAACCAGGGAGGGGGAAGAGGGAATGGAGCTGGAGAGAGAGAGACAGCCTTCCAATGGAAAGTCAACAGCCCCCAGGTCTGGAGGTGGTTGATAAGGAAGAGGAGGAACAGCTGGGTCCAGTGCATGAAGCACAGAAAGCAGAGGAGAGGAGAACAGTGGAAATCTATAGGCCAGCCCTTGTAATGGAAGAGCCACCGCTGCTACCAAAGCCCCATCCTAACTCTGGGGATAAAAGGCAGGGGGTGGAGATGAATAGATGTGGAAGATAACTATTCATCTCCAGGACGGATGGACTTGTTAGCCTGCATTGAGAGAGAAACTTTTTGCTGGGGGGCTGCTGACACTCCTAATAAATGAATCTTTGAATTCGCTCCAGCGGGTTCGTCGTGTTGGGGAAGCTGGTTTAGAACACTAAAATATAGAACAATTAGAAGAAGCAGTGCAAGATCAGAAGATGTGGTGAGACCTCGCCCATGGAATCACCAAGGGTTGGACACAACTGAAAGGATCTCATCATAATCATCATAACAACAATTACTACTAACCTGCCTTCAATCAAGGACCTGTATAGGAGTCACAAAGAGGGCTGTGAAAATATCTACAGACCCTTCACATCCCGGACATAAAGTGTTTCAACTCCTACCTTCAAAACGATGCTATAGAGCACTGCACACCAGAACAACTAGACACAAGGATAGTTTTTTTCCCCAAAAGCCATCACTCTGCTAAACAAATCATTCCCTCAACTCTCCAGCTATTTACAAAGTCTGCACTACTATCACTATTAATCGTCTCATCACTCCTTATCACCCATCCCCTCCAGTGGTGGAATTCAAATTTTTTTACTGCCGGTTCTGTGGCTGTGGCTTGGTGGGCATGGCAGGGGAAGGATACTTTAAAATCTCCGGTCAGAGGTGGTATTTGCTGGTTCTCTGAACTATTCAAAATTTCGGCTGCCGATTCTCCAGAACTGGTCAGAATCTGCTGAATACCACCTCTGATCCCCTCCGACTTGTGACTGTAACTCTGTCGCTTGTATCCTTACAATTTATATTGACTGTTTTCTAGTGTGATTTGATTCCTTATTGTACCCTATGACTATCATTAAGTGTTGTACCTGATGATTCTTGACTCTTGATGAATGTGTCTTTCCTTTTATGTACACTGAGAACATTTGCACCAAGACAAATTCCTTGTGTGTCCAATCACACTTGGCCAATAAAGAATTCTATTCTATTCTATTCTATTCTATTCTATTCTATTCTATTCTATTC